GGCTTTGTCTTGTGGCCATTGGTCGCGCACAACGACGACAGCAATCAGTACTACTATATACCACTGGCGCTGTTTTTAGTGTCGTTCCAGTGGTGGGAGAACTTCATAGACCCCCAGTCCCACAATGCGGTCAACAAATGGCTGCTCGACATAAAGAAGGATTTGGCGAAATCGCGATATTTTACTTATTTGATTGTCACGGTCTGGAAGATGGCTGTCATCTTGTGTTTTATGATTTTGTTTGAGTACGTCAACAATGGACAGTCGGTAGAGTCTGTGAACAGTCTGTTCAATAAGTTTGGCGAAGGCTTCTCCAACGAGAAGATCTTAATTATTCGCGACAAGAATCGCCTCGAGTTCCAGAAGAAGATTGAGGGCGAGTCACACGAGATGACTGTCGGCGACCCATACATTCCCGTCTGGATTCTGTTGGTGCAGATTAGCGCCACATACCTGTGCTATGCTGTGGCCAAGTTCTCGTGCAAGATATGCATTCAAGGCTTCAGTTTCGCCGTTCCCGTGAACCTATCAGTTCCGGTGACCGTCTCATTCATGTGGGCAGTGGTCAGTGCCTCGGCTCAGGATAAGTGCCAAGTTTGTCACGAATTCTTCAAAGGATTTCAGTACATCTTTTGGTACACCAGAGATGTGGACGCGTTTGCCTACGAGAAGGACTATTTCAATTATATCAGCACAGTTATGTGGGTCCTATCACTGGCCTCGCAGATGTGGATCTCGATCCACATATGGTTCTCGACCAGCGAAAGGCTGGCCTCCACTGAAAAGTTATTCATAATCCCGATGTACAGCTCTGTGATCGTGGACCAGTCGCTGGCATTCAACAGACGGAGAATCAATTTTATGGACGAAGCCGTCAAAGATGTCGAGTCGACTCACGAGGAAAAGCTGGGCAAAGAGGCGGACAAGAATATGAACCACTTGTATGAGACGGTGAATGAGCCGATGCCGGCCGCGCCCTACGTGTCCAACGAGGACGAGACGGTGAGGATCTTCGTGTGTGCGACGATGTGGCACGAGGACAAGAACGAGGTGATTCAAATGCTCAAAGCCGTCATGCGATTAGATGCCGACCAATGCGCCCGACGACAGGCCCACCAGTTCTTCAAACTCAATCCCGCCCTCACAGACTACTACGAGATTGAATGTAATATCACTTGCGATTCATTGACAATTTGTACTTGATAATTTGTATACTAATCTTATGTGACTTCTTGCGATGAAATGGTAGTCAATATCTTCTTCGACGACGCCTTCGATCAGGGGCCGAGTGATGACGAAGACGACCGACTCATCAACCGATTCGTCAAACAGCTGATTGAGACGATGGACGAGGCGGCCAGTTATGTGCACGAGACCAACATTATGCTCAAGAGACCCAACGTTGTGCCCACACCTTATGGAGGGAAGTTAGAGTGGGNGCCTTCGATCAGGGGCCGAGTGATGACGAAGACGACCGACTCATCAACCGATTCGTCAAACAGCTGATTGAGACGATGGACGAGGCGGCCAGTTATGTGCACGAGACCAACATTATGCTCAAGAGACCCAACGTTGTGCCCACACCTTATGGAGGAAAGTTAGAGTGGGTTCTCCCCGGACAGAACAAACTCGTCGCTCACCTCAAGGATAAAATTCTTATCAGACATCGTAAGCGATGGTCTCAGGTATGAGATAATACACATACACTCCTTGTAAACAGAAAACTAATGATCCTATATGTCTAATGATCCAAAACTGTATGGCCGGGTAGTGTATGTATATGTATTACCTGTTGGGCCACAGAATCGCCGAAAGACAAATCGATGAAAGGAGAAAGGAGATGATTGCGATGAATACGTTTGTGTTGGCTCTGGACGGGGACATCAACTTCCGTCCGCATGCCTTGCATTTGGTGGTCGACCT